GTGTCCTTGCATCGCTGGACAACGTCCATCATTGTCAGTGTTTTTGTACCCTGAAGTCTCTTCATACTCTGTCCTTTTCTCTATTCGTCTCTCTCTCTCTCTCTCTCTCTCTCTCTCTCTCATCCACCCTTCAACGCGTGCAAACTTGTATAAAGAGATACATGTACACACACACACAGATACAGAGAGAGAGAGAGAGAGAGAGAGAGAGAGGGAGAGAGAGAGAGAGAGAGGAATTAAATGGTAGTAACACGTTGGTTGTTTTTTGCTCCAAACGGACAGAAGGAAAGTAGCAGGTGCCAAGCTCCATTCCACATGATATTTTCTACAATTACCATACTATAACACGCGCCAGTCCTTAAATAATTTAAACAAACCTGCTTCTATAAGGGATAGTGAGCGTATTGACCCGTGGGCGATAAACTCAAACGATGCTTAATCAATTATAATATTCCTGACCATAAGTTATACTGCTGCATGCATATTAAATCATAAAAAAGTACTAGCGTGCCTACAAACACAGTTCGACCTTTAAAGGTCTCGAACATGAATGATATACCTCCGACAGGTGCCAGCATATGACTGCCATATCTACACACGAGGGCCTGGATTTCAAACTGTTTTTTCATATCATCTCGGTTTAGATTTAAAATAGTAATCAGAGGAGTCGCTCAGCTCAATGATGTAAACTGGGCAGTCGAATACGAGGTGAAATAATAACAATAATTATTATTATAATTATAATAATAGATTAATGGTCGTGTAACCATCAATGGTGAATCTGTTTTTCTACTAGTGTATGCCTAACTGCTGTTTAATCACTCTTCTTTCCCTCATATCATTCAGAGCGAAAAAATGCCCAATAAATCCACTTCTAAGTTGTATTAATCTCACCAATTAGAAATGATCAATTCAATACTTCTTTTCAAAAATCAAACAAGGGGAGACCAATTATATAGCCAGGTATTGTTAGGCAAGATACGACACCAGAATATCATGTGTCAATACAAACTACAATGAGTATGACATCTTTTAAAAGTTTGAATTACAACATGATAGTTTATCCTAACGTCAAATAATATTAACTGCTTACAATAATCAAAAGACAATCAGACACTACCTATCACATATAAAGCACATGAAATCCCACCTACCACTTAAACAGACTAAAAACCAAGCGAAAATTCCAGATACAGGTTCACAAAAATTTACCAGTTTCTCCAGCCTCTCTCTCGGGCCGACACTTCGCGCTTCCTATTAGCATATTTTCGCCGTTAAAGAAATTCCTGACCGCATTTTTAATGCGATGATCAGCATTGAAATCCAATGCGTTTCAAAACAGGTAAGCAAAAGGACAGGTGAGGCGAAGGTGTGTGTTAATGTTACAGCCTGCTCTACGTGTTGTTGGGGTTGTCGAGGGGTGGTTAGGGGAAATAATATTGATGAAGTTGATTGACATAGCCAGCCTGTATACTGATTGACATAACATGGTTATTAGGCCGTTCTACTTATTAAGTACATCTTTTCGTTTCAAAATTGCACTTCAAGCTTCTTATATATTATACAAGTGAAAAATGGTTTTTATATTTGACATTTTAAGTTTAAAGTATTACACGAAAATATACGGGCTTTTTAATAAGATTTTTATACATTTTATACATCATTTTCATACATAATAGTTCTTTTTAACGGCAAAGCACAGAACTTTGAAGAAACATTTCTAGAAGTCTGTTATTTAAACCCTATATCTCAGTGACATTGGGATATCGCTTTGGAGGCACCCTTTCTTTGAGCCAAGTGGGGCTGAGAGTCTTCGTGGGTCAAAAATTTCCTGAGGTCTTCATCCACACGTCTTTAGTCTTACATTACAACCCGTATTTCAGCTCCTCCGCGTCAGAGAAAGGGCTTTCCTGACTCATTTTGCCACGTCACGAGACTTCCTTAAATGGCAGGGAAACCCCCGAGACTACCTGGCGCTCTGACAAAAAGGTGTTACCGAGCATTTGTCGGTGTTGGATAAGATTCAACATTTTTTAAGTAAGTGGCATCGTGGATGTTATGTTAATTCATGATTTAATTGATTCCATCAAAAAAACATTATTTTCATTGTTTTCATTTTTTTACGAACGAAAAGAAAAACACCAAGACTTATTTACTCATTGTTTCTATAGAAAAGATACAAAAGTTAAAGAGGGGGTACAAACTCAGTTCCGTTAAACAATTTGGCTGAATGACAAATAAATGAAAACAGTTCTTTCTACCGTTTTGAAATGCCATGGTTGACAAGCGGGGTGGGTGATAAACCCGTTGAGTTATTTTCAATAGGGGTAGATAAGTTGTTAGCTAATTGAAAATACTACCTTGTTCTTTACAGATGACTTACTTATCATGTAATGTTGTCGACCAGCTGTGGCATCTAGACCTACGCCGATTTAGATACATGGCTATCTCCTGATGCAACTTTTCATGGCATAAAAGCGAATCAAACAAACAAACAAAAAAAAAAAAAAAAAAAAAAAAAAACAAGAAATCGTTTCGAAATTCGCATGTACAAGAACATGACAAGATTTTCAGCTTAATAGACGGATATAGACATGGCAAGATAAATGATTAAACCGAAAGGCAGTTAAACTGTGATGCACTGTTCATGTAAAGCGGTAAATACCAAAGGTCTGAGTGATGACTATCAACAGGTATACATACTTTATCGGATACAAATACAGTGAATGGCTGTAAGAGGAAAACGCATATTTCTTTCATTTTATGCACAATGAATATGTACGTGGTGGCATATACAATTGTACGCACATTGATACAATTTTTCAAGAACTGTTGCAGCGTCTGTCATCAAGATGGTCAAAAAAGTGTCACAAACCTGGCACGCGACTTGTGCGACCTCAACTGGCCACATCACCGCTTATCTGATGGTCTAAATGGACGGTTTGACCTTTATCGACTGCTTTATCGCTGGAAGGAAACCGTTGAGATTTGTATCGCCATTATGTGGTAATGATATCATCTAGACCCAAAAAAATGGTCAGCGTACGAGAAAGGAAGTGTGTGTGTGTGTGTGTGTGTGTGTGTGTGTGTGTGTGCACGCAAGAGAGAGAGAGAGAGAGAGAGTTGCATGGATTTCGCTTCTTTTGAATTTTGAAAATATCCCATGCCGTATCACACTTATCTACATACAAATTTCCAGGTCACTAAAACGAGGAGTAGGCATTTTATTTAGCAGAAAGTATAGCTAACTTTGTCATATCTTGTGATTCGAAACACAGCAGTGTACATAGTGATATTTGTCGTTTGTCACAACAATGCCAGCATAGTATTGTATGTCATGTTTATCATAATCACGAGACTTAAAAAAACAAGTATCACCCTACCAGCTTCTTTTCTGATATCTGAGTGTTATATATATCAACCACCAAGTATCATTTCGAATCGAGAGATTCCTTGAGCGCGCGCGCGGGTGAGTGAGTGTGTGTGTGTGTGTGTGTGTGTGTGTGTGTGTGGAGAGAGAGAGAGAGAGAGAGAGAGAGAGGCGATCTCTGAGCTTGCGCAGATGCGCGCGAGCTAATTTGTGTGTGTGTGTGTGTGTGTGTGTTAAAATACATAAATATTGGCCCTACCTTATAACAACAGCCTACCACCGTAAAAATCACAACTTTAAGCGTTTGAATGCCTGCCTGCACAATCACCACACTACTCTGCAACACCGTCAGAATCTTGGAGTTACCGCGGGAGACTTGATCCGAAATGCTAAATGAAGAAACTCAATCCCCCCTCCCATTAACTGTCAACCTTGGGGGACTGACGCTACCTGTCTGTGTAACTGCCCAATGCCCGACAATGACAGTCCTCTCAGCGCTAGCCTCTATTTTTTTTTCACCTGGGTTGCTATTTCAATAATATGCCAACCCGTTATTTGTAGTGTAACCCTACCTGTGAATACCTCTTAATGGACGGACTCAGTCCACTCATTGTCCGCCCCAGGTACGCTGATTGCGAACGCCACAGTCCGCCCAGACTTACCCTCCCTATCCTTAACTAGCCTGTAATTCTTGTTATATGAAGCCAGTCTGTAAGCGGCGCTGTTTAGTTATATTCCCGGCATTCAGTACACGGAGGTGGTTGGTTATATATATAGAACATACATATCCTGAATCACCTGGCTTCGCGTTGAATTCGAGTGGCGATCCCTTATATTATGGGAGCGTGGAGCGTGCTTGGCTTATACACAGTTACACTGATTTAATACTCACTGGTAGTCTCTTCACACACAGACTGTGACCTCTGTAGCCGGGTTCATGTTGTCAAGATATGTAACCAGCCTGTGGTATTCTGGTTATTCCATACTGAACATGTGTAAGTGAAACACACATACAGTGTATATTGTGCATAGTACAGTATACCCTTTCATTATACTTATAAAATCCCTGTTTAACACGCGTATTAAAACGTCCTTGGACTCCATGAATGCGTACTGAAACGAGCTTCTGGAATATATACTTTCCAGTGGTAGTGGCGATGAGGGGGGGGGGGGGGGGGGGGGAG